AATAATCAAAGAACCTCAAGGCTTTTTTAACCTTTGAGAGTGAAAAGGGAAAAAATGAAAATGTTCTAACTATATTATTTAGGGCTTACATTTTTTTTTTTTTTTTTTTTTCCGGAACTGGGGCTTGAACTCAGACCCTTGCGCTTGCCAGGGAAGCGCTTATTCTACTGAGCTGTCTCCCCGGCCCCTTAGGGCTTACATTCTAATAAGTGACTCAACCAAAAGTTCTAAAATCTCAGCCTGCAAAAGAGACCTATCACCTCTGGGGACAGAGAGCAACAGGTAATAATTCAGAAGAAATGTCAGCCTGAGGACAGAGAGGGCCTCAGACATTTTGGGTTCTCTGTGTGCTTACTTGGGCAACTTTCCTCCACGGTGCTGGCTTGGCTCTATTTAAGCCCACTCTGAAACTACGTAGGTCAGGAATCAGTAACAGGCGTAAGAAACTCACAGGTCAAAGTCTGTACCCGCTGTTTCTCATTAGAAGTCAATGTTTGATTTAAGTGTAACATTACATCTCCCTCATTAAAGACCTTAATGTACTTATTAGGGCCACTTGAAAACTTTTATGGCTGTTTGATCGGTCTTAGGTCACTGAGAGGAAAGGACATATGAACACAGGTGATCTTTTGGTCACCGGCAGTAGTGTTTTTGTTTTTTGAGACAGGGTCTTACTACATAATTCAGGCTGGCATTGAGCTATGTAGCTCAGGCTGGCCTTGAAATCACAGAAATTCTCCTGCCTCAGCCTCCTGAGTGCTGGGGTTATGGGAGTGTGTCACCACATCTGGCAGATGGCGGTAGTGTTGTATGGCTTATATTTTGAATATAAGTAAGAATTATTTTCTAATCCACAGAAACTCTAAGCAGAAGGCAATTTTGACCACTTTTCCCTTTCGTACAGTGTGAAGTGAGTTCTCCCGAAATGCAGGGTTTTGTTTCATAAACAGCACTTAAGCACAGGCTGAGGCTGCTTTCCTGGATAGAAAGGGACTTCCAAGGAGGAGGAGGGTGACTGGGCTGGGCAAGTCCAAGGTCCTGCTGTTCTCAGGACCCAGAAACCCTCCAGGCTCCGGCCTCTGACCCTTGGGCTGGAGTACAACAGGCCTGACTATGTGGCATAAACGCAAGTGCTCAGGGAGGCCCCCGTCGTGCTCCCAAGCCTACGAACTGATGCTTGAGGCAGCCATGGAAAGACTTAAACCAGAAGACTGCACGGTGTGGTCTGCGCTTTAGGGAGATGTCTCTGAGGTAAGGTAACAAAGGCAAATTTCTGACCTGGGGGAGGTCAGAAAGATCTGGGTAAAAGACAATAGAGAGATCTGGGTAAGAGAAAAAGGAGGCCTGCACCAAGCAATGATAGCGAAGTCAAGGAGACGTGGCCGAGAGGAGAACTGCAGATTTCCAGGCCTTTCTGACTGGGAAGTAAAGGGGCACTGCTAAACAGCCCCAAGTTCTTGGCCTGGGAGCTCCTCAGCTGGGACAGAGAATGTAGGAGGATGAGGTCTAGGGAAGCAAAAGATGGACTCAGGAGCCCGAGACACCTGCGGTGCTGCAGGTGGGCCGCGCAGATGCTTGCCGATTCCTGCGCTTGGACCCTGGAGGCGAGATCGCCTCAGTCTGGACACCTCTTAGGCCTGCACACAGCTACCCTCAGGCATTTCTTCTGGGTATTCTGGGAGGGGCATTGTTTCCTGTTTTTCACTTACTCGGCTTACTACCTGGTTTTGCTGAAGCTCACTGGCAAGTGAATTCCTGAGGAAGATGGACAAGGAAACAGACTGAGCTCTCGTGGTTCTGAGAATAACTGTGTTTGCCCTCAACCAGCTCTTGCTGGGTACAGAATTCCAAGTTGAAAATACTTTTCCATCTGCACTTCGCTACTGAAAAACTGAATGCCAGATTGGGCTTCACCCCTGTGCAGCTGATACCCTCCTCAGCCCCACTACCTTCTGACAGAACATTTTAGGACTTTCCTTTTGTTTTAGTGTTCTAAAAAATGAGAGTGTTCTAAACACTGATCTTTTCCAGCCCATGGAAGTTTTCTTCTGTCACTCCACTGAGGATTTCCTTCCCTCTATTTTTTTCTTTCTGGAATTATTGTTCTTTGGGTCTTATATGTCTTACATTAGTACTCTCTCTACATCACATCTCTTCTCCACCTTTTTGGTATTATCTTCCCTATTCGGAGTGTTCTCTGCTTATTTTTTTTTTTTTAATTTAACCTTTATGTTCTGATACTAGAGATTGAATCCAAGACCTTCATATAGCTACATTCCTGTGCCCCGCTCTCCTTTTTCTTTCTTTTTGAAATTCTGAGGCAGGGTCTTGCTGAGTTGCCCAGGCTGGGCTAGAACTTGTGACTTCTGTTTCATTTTGGTCTTGGTGATCTCAAAACTCCTATTTTAGCCCACAGCAATGTTCTTCTGTTCCTCCATTGATGACTTCCTTCCCCTTATTTTTAATTTCTGGGAACTATGGTACATACCACCACATCCTGCTTATTTGATTTTTTAATCTTGAATTATCTTATTCTCTAAATTACATGCCCTCTCAGATTTGTTATTAATATATGCCCTTTGATTCCCTGAAATTTTCCAGTTCTTTCGGGGACAGTTCGTGGTACTGTTCGCTCTTCACTCTGCTGCTAACTTCATTGAGCTTTTCTCTTCCAGGATGGTCGTATCTGTGCACCAGGAGATGCCTGGCTGTCTGTTTGAATGCTGTGTCTCTCACCACCGTGTACACAGGCCTGCTTCCCTGACAGGTTCTTCCTTTGGCTGGGAGCATGCGCTGCACGGAATACATCGTGGAAGGCAGCCACAAGCTGTACTTCAGATGCGAACCCAAGACTGGGACAACGGACAGTGGCCTCGCAAATGCCATTATAGGAGGACATTTTGCACAGTCAGCACTAACGTGAGAAACCTTAGCTTTCATGAGGTAATTCCTTCAGTGTTCTCAGAAGACAGCCTTCGGGGTCCCAGCGCCAGCACGAGCACTTCCTTCTGCGGGAGGAAGTGGGAGGAGTTCCCGGGGACACATGCATGCAGCCTACCATGCCTCATGCGACACACTTGCTTTCGCTCAGCTGCCGGCCACCCTTGCCGCCGACTCAGCAGGCTCGCCGGGCTTCCAGACGCCTATCTCCTGTGCCGCCTCTGAGGCACCGTCACCCGGTCTGGCCTGAGGAGTACCTGCTGCTTCCACGCTCCCAGGAACACGCTTTCACTTCTGCCTTCTTTCAGCAAATTTCTGCAACCTCACCAGGTAACGGCTCCCATTCTCTTTGTGGATGGGTTCCTTCTTGTACTTTCAGTTTTGTTTCCGTGGTCCCTCGGGAGAGGCAGGCCACAATCTGCCATCTAGAAGGACACCCTAAATAGCTCACGAGGGCTCCACTGCAGCTGCTTCCTTCGGCCAGCATCTCGGGGCACATCGGATTGTCTCCCGGCGTGTGTCTGCTGTCGTGGACCTTCACTCTCCCACTCACCCACCCACCGTTTAACAAACACAGGCACTTTTCAGATGCCGCGGACCTGAAAAGACAAGCTCGCTGTGTAATAAGGCCGCAGACGCACAAACAGAGAATTTCAACGAGAACTCAGCGCGGCACGAGATCCAAGCTTCCTGGTGGTGGCCAGGGAACTGGTCACCAAGTTCCGCACCTGAGGGAAGAGTGAGCTGCCCAGGCGGCTGCGACGACGAGACGGACGCGGGCGGAGGGGCCGCGCAGCAGGAGGAGGGCCGCCGGGACGTGGGAAGTGCGAAGAAGGCTCCCCGCTCTGGACAGGCTCACGTGGCCGCAGCTACTAAGGGCAGTTCTGCACCGCTGGGAAGGGGAGCCCCGGGGACGCGTAGGCTAAGCGGTTTCTTCCTGTTACTTCGGAAGGAGTCAACCCTAGAGGTCGGACTTGCATGAGATACAGAGGCTTCCTGGGGAGGGACATCTTGACTACAAGGCAATGACTGATTTGGTGTTGGCTCTAACAGTGTCCAAAAAGCCAAACTGTCCACTTCAGAAGTCAGAAAACCAGAGCTCTTCTTCCCCTGAAGGAAGGCAAGAAACAAGTATCTAACCAAAGGGAGTGTCGCAAATCTGAGTCTTCCTTAGCAGCTTAGCCATGGGTTGCATTGTAAGTGGTAGATTGGAATCAACTTGATGGGATTCCAATAACGTAACTTTGGGATTATAAATATTGGCTTCTTGGACCTAGAGGAGGACAAAAAGTCACCTAAGACCCCCTTCCTTGTACATCAGGGGATCACGCTGAGGAAGGTCGGGGAAGAGAGAAGTCTAGAGGACTGGACACTTTGTGCAAAGCAGCCCACTAATGCAGATTGCTCTCTCTGCATATCCCCTCTGCATATGGCGGAGGTAAATGTAGGCCTCCCGCCTAGCTCGGCTCAAAGTGATCACCTGCTTCCCACAGTTCTCAGTCAATCCTCCTCAAGCCACTCCCCCACTGAATAAAAACCGGGTGAGGCCCTGGGTCCCTCTCTTGGCTCCCGAAAGCCATCTTCGTGGCTGCACTTAGAGCCCCTTGACTCCCCAATGATTGAAAATATAATGTAGTGTCTTTATTTTTGCCGTGGGTTGCATTGTAAGTGGTAGATTGGAATCAACTTGATGGGATTCCAATAACGTAACTTTGGGATTATAAATATTGGCTTCTTGGACCTAGAGGAGGACCTGGAAGTGTCTCCTACAGCCCACATCAGTCAAAGGAGACAGATTGGACTGATCTTTACCATTCACCATGACCCAGAGGAAGCAATCCATAAGGGAACTAGATCTCAGTTCACTGTGCACTTAACAGTGACTTCTGATTATTATTGAGATTATGGTATTTGACTAGCAACAACGTGTAATAGGTCTTCCCTTGAATTATAGTTATTTTAGTCAAAGTCCAATACTTTCCCCATGACTTCAGTGATAATTAAATTTTATTTCCAGTTCAAAAACAATGAGAAAAATTGTTTTGTTAAATTCTACACACCTCTCTTTTTAGCCAGTCGTTCTCCAAGATCTCTCGGTAACTTCCCCTGTCAATTAAACTTACAGCATTCTGAAAGGAGGAAGAGTTGCAACTCAGTAATTCACAATTACTTAGCAAAGGGACGCTCATTCATTTTAAGTTATGCCTTTCAATAACTGTGAGAATGTGTAAGATCTTTTAGATTAGCTCTTCCTTTAGTATCCTACTCCACTTCTTGGCCTGGTTTTCATACTCTGTGGCAAGTGAGCTGGACAAGCGGACAATGTGTGGTTGTCCGTTCATGTGGCCTGCACTATGGCTGACTCCGCTGTGGTGAAATCAGAAATTAAGTGACCTGGACGTGAGGGTGATCTGGCTGCGACATCTGTCACCTCACTGATCGCCAGGGTTGATGCGGCTGATCTGGCTGGCTTGGCGGGTGTCCCCTTTCTCCCTCGATGATCCATGTGCGTCCCTCCCGAAGCTGTGCGACCGGTCGAAGAGGACAACCGCCCCTGATAGAGGAGGACCGTTCCTCGGTCAAGGGCATACGAGTAGCTGCGCTCCCCTGCTAGAACCTCCAAACACGCTCTCAAGAAATTAAGTGACCTGCTTCATAATTAAGATGGCTAAGCTGTAGTGATCAAGCACTTTTATAGTCATATATAACTGAACATATATCAAATTTTCTGCATATCAATGGGAACAACATGTATGTTTACAGACATAACAGCAAGTGGTTTTAGAGCTGCACGCTACAAGTGACACTGTTTTCTAAGGAAAGGCATTTTTACACAGTGACAATAGGGAAAGTCTTGACAGTAGGTTCACAGAATGCATATTTGGTTTCAATTGCTTGGATTTTTTAAAAAAAGTATTTGGTGCAGGGTTTCACTATACAGCTTGGACTTGTACTGATCCTCCTGTCTCAGCCTCTCCAGCGCTGGGATTACGTGGGTGAGCCACCACGCCCAGTCTTGGTGGCAGGCTCAGAGAGCCCAGGGATGGGGCCAGTGTAGCATGTAGTGTCGGGCATTGAATCCCAGTTCCTGTGCTTGCCCAGGCAGGTGCTTAGTCTGCTGAGCTACCTCACTGGTCCACTTGCTTGGATCTTTTTTTTTTAACGGAACCAGGGATTGAACTCAGGCCCTTGTGCTTGCCAGGTAAGCACTTATTCTACTGAGCTCTCTTCCCAGCCCAATTTCTTGGATCTGTATAGTTTTACCTACAAGAATTTTACAGTGGATGTCACTGGGTTTCTCTGAAGGTGTTTTGTAAAGAAATTATGTTACAAATTCAATAATCAGTAACTGAAGGGCAGAATCAAAGGAAGAGCTATGATAAATATTCTAGGGGGAAAGAAAGGAAAATATTCCAGATCATAAACATGGATAGAAATAACTTAAAAGGTGTGATAAGGGTAAATCTGTCTTTACATCTTTAGCGTTGGAAAATTTTCAAATGAAAATGATCTTTAAGTCATGTTTATTAAACCAAGGGTAGACATACATTTCATCGGAACCAGGAAGGTCTGCACTTCAACTACAACAGCTCTAGCTTCCCCTAGCATCAAATTTCAACAAAAGTAGGAAATAGTTCCAGAGGTCAGCTGACTAACACTAATTCACCAGCAGTGAAGTAGCAGCTTCAACTTTGGCTACACATTAGACTCTCTGGAGGGCTATGAAAAAATCCATAGACTCACACATCATTCCAGGACAATTATATTACCATCTCTTGGGCGGGACCCACACATCACTTGGGTTAAAAAAATACAGTTGCGGGAGCTCCACCCATGTTTAGCTAAGGCTGCACAGTGCAGGATCTCAGGAAGTCGAGCTGTGGTGCTCACAGAGCTGGCTAAGAAGAGGAGAACTCATTCAAGCATGTGAGCGTTCAGAGTTATGTAGAAAAAGACAGTGCATGGTGCCACAATTAGGGGCAGTGATAGGAAGGAGGCCCGGACCTGCGTCCTCTCACTCGCTCTGGGAAAGTCGCTGTTCCTCTGTGCCTCAGAAGCCTGGAAGGCTCCTGCACCTCTTAGGGTCAGCAAGAGAATTAAATAAAAAAATGTTTGTAAGAATATTTGGGACAAAAAAAAAAAAAAGAATATTTGGGACAGTCCTTGTGACACATACTTGAAGTCACAGGCTTATTTCATCTACACGTGTGTTTTTAATAATCAGTATCATTAGATTAATGAATGATTTCTCCATTCAGTCACATTCTGTCATCCAGCTGCATGGGCAGACAAAGCACTGGCCGGTGTGAGACTCCTCTGTGTTTGTGTACATTAGTAAAAATCATGTGACAGAAGGGTACCACTGTAGGAGCAAGTGAGCCCACAGGGGTGCAACAAACAGCAACTGCAATTCAGAAAAGGCTTTTAAAACAACCAAATATTTGTAATTCTGAAGAATCAATGCCCCAAATAAAGGAACATTCCCATGCTGACTTAGGAGATAGTCTGAAGATAGGAGGGCTGCAGGAGAAAACTTTTAGATATTTTGTGTAAGAGAAATTAAGAGAGGGCCTGGGGAGATAGCTCAGTAGAATAAGCCCTTGCCTGGCAAGTGCAGGGTCCTGAGTTCAACCCCCAGTACCACAAAAGAGAGAGAGAGAGAGAGAGAGAGAGAGAGAGAGAGAGAGAGAGAGAGAGATTAAGAGAACACATATAATTGGAAATTTTATTTCAAAAACATGTTCTATAGGGCCGGCCAAATAGCTCAGCAGATTAAAGTGCCTACAAGCAGGCGCTGCAGCCCAGGGCTTGATCCTCAAACCTGCTGTGCCGGCCCTGCCCCCGGGGCTTGATGAGAAGGCAGTTGAGACTGGGTTTTTTGTTTGTTTGTTTTGTGGAACTGGGGATTGAACTCGGGCCCTTGTGCTTGCCAGGGAAGCACTTACTCCACTGAGCAACCTCCCCAGCCCCAATGTGGTGGCGTGCCTATAATCCCAGCTCTTAGGAGGCTGCAAACAGGCGGATCACTATGAGTCCAATCTAGTAGTGAGACCCTGAACACCCAAGACCCTTCCCTAAGATACAAAAAATAAATAAATGAAAATGAAACAACACTGTGTGTACATATGCTCCTGGGTTTGGGTATGTAAGGAAGCATTTTTCTGACAAATTACTTTTCATTCTATAACTCATTCAAAATATTTAATATTTTACTAAAATCATAATTATTGTACTTTAAAAATCACTAATGCCTCCGTATGAGACACTGCTACTTAAATCATTCAATCTTCAAACTTTCTCTAAGGTTAAATACTATTCTGTATTCTTTGTAAGTTAATCAACATAAGCTCAGTAAAATTAAGTGACAACTTGTTTATGCAGATATTCAGAGGGAGAACTGCAATTTAAACTCTAACTGCCTAATTTGGGACCCAGATTCCTAACCACTATGACACACTACGCCGGGGTCTCATCTGGTGGCACACGCCTATGACCCCAGCACTCAGGAGGCTGAGGCAGCAGGACCCTTGGGAGTTTGAGGGCCAGCTGGGCTCAAAGTGAGCTCAAGGCCTGCCTGAACTGCACAGTGAGACCCTGTCTTGAAAAAACTGTGTGTGTGTGTGTGTGTGTGTGTGTGTGTGTGTGTGTGTGCTGGCTTCCTCCTAGCTGCATTCCCAGCACCTCCCCAACCTTCAAGATTTTGAGCCAAGGACTTGTTAAGTCTCTAAACTGCCCAGGCTGGGCTTATACTTGTGGTCCTCCTGCCTCAGCCTCCCAGAATGCTGGGCCAATAGGCATGCACCACCATCCAACTACATTATTCCTTTTTGTAAAAAATAAAAGGGAGGTTTTAGGAGAACTGCAATACGCTGCTCATAGCCACACCACCCTGAACGTGCGCAGTCCCGTCTGAAATATACCTGTGTGGCCCATTCTTTCTTTTGGTCCAGTTGCAGTAAAGTGTCTCTGATTATCCTCTTCCTAGTATCTTCCAGAGTGATTTTATACTGTTCTTTAAAGAGAAAACAAGGTCGATCTCAGTACCCCTGACATTAAGAAGTTTCACTTTCCACGATCCTTGCCTCTCTTTCTACCCACTTTTTCCTCTGATTTCTCAGACTGTGTTTTTACTGAACCACCCACCTCCTATAGTTAGAAGAAATGCCCAATAATTTACCCAGAACTTAGTGTGAGTGAGTCTAAGATCTCCTTGTACTTCCTAAGGACTGCCTCTCCAGGAGACAATTTCAGACACTCTAATACTTAAGTGGCATGCTATCCTGTCTCTCCACAATTTACAGATCCACAATGGCGATAATAGACTTCATTATCTGTTCGAGTAGCGTGCTGTACGCCTGACTCCACCTAACGGGATTCCCAGTAGTCATGCGCTTCCTGGGGCGGAACACACAGGATGAGGGGAGGTACACGAGAGGCAGAGGGGCCGCTGGGAACCGAAGACCCAGTCCACGCTGCGCCCCAGCAAGAAAGCAGGGCAGAGACAAAGACCGCCTTCTCCATCCTCACATGTTCTCCTGTGCTTGTAAAGGTCACGGAGGGGAAAAGGTCACAAAGTTTAGACCTCCAACAGCATATAATCAATAGACTGTTTTAAGGAAACTGAGGCACCATGACATTAAGACTGCTTTAGACAGAAAAGAGAAATAAAGCTGAATAAAAGGAGCTCTGTTTTTTAGTTCCTAAAACAATTATTAAATTCTTTCTGTATGTCAGGCATTACTAAAGAGACTGGGAATAATTCTGTGTCAAAAATCCCTATCGTTATGGTATATACATTCTCATGAAGAAAGCAGATCATAAATAAGAAAACATAATTTTTCAGTGGGTGATGCGTGTGATGAAGAAAAGCTAAGTCTTTCTCAGCGAGGGTGATCAGAAAAAGCTGTCTTGAGATGTCTGAGTAGACAGGGTGCTGTAGTCGGAAACGTGCACCCTGAAGGACGGTCCTACGTCAGGGACTTGATGTGCCAAGCAGTAAAGCTGGGCGTGGTTTTATCATGACACCAGTGTTCTATGTCCCCTTCAGCTGTATTCTATTTATAACATATACAAGATAATTATTTGGAAACCAAGATGCAGTTTCCAATAGAAATAATGCTGAAGATCATGGCTGCTAGAATTCGTGACAGGTCCATAGAAACCTATTCAACTCATTCTTTAACTAAAAAAAAATGTTCAAAGAATGCTGCGGAGCCTGCCTTCCACTAAGGACACTGTTTCCGTGGGGTCAATCCTTTACAGGCCAAGGCAGCTGCAGAAGAACTCTGGGGACCTTAGGCCACCAGGGAGAAGCAGCTGCGAGGAACCCGAGTCTGGGAGAGCACCTGAAGGCTCTCGTTTTATAGATCAAGAAATTAAAACTTACAGGAGTAATGTTACTTTTTGGTAGGCAGACTTGAGCCCAAGTCTTTTCACTTACTCTTAGGGTACAAAGAAGTTTTAAGGATTTCTGCCCTGTGCCTCTGGTACAGTGCAAAAACGAACCAGCTGTGTGCCTGCACCTAGGCATGCACCGGCCCTCTTCCTGGCCTGACCTCTCTTTCTGAGGAGAGACGGCCTTGTCCTGGCCACGCCAGTCACTTCTCCGCACCCAACACTTCCACTACTCCCTGAGCTGCAGGTGTTTTCTTCTCCCGACGCAGGGTTCCAGGTGGCTATCAGGGACAGCGGGAATGAACAGCTGACCCAGACATCTGTGCAGGACCCACGGAGGCCTGGGAAAGCACCCTTGGTCATGCGAGTAGGTAAAGGAGACCCCAGCTCTCTTCAGAGTCTAAATCAGAGAATACTAGAAGGATCAGCCTAGGGGCCAGGGAGACGCTCAGTAGAATAAGCCTTTGCCTGGCAAGTGCAAGGTCCAGAGTTCAATCCCCGGTACCGCAAAAATAAATAAATAAATAAATAAAATAAAAATAAAAAATAAAAGTATCAGTCTGTGAAAAGCAAGCAGCGAATGGGGCCAGGCCCACAGAGCAAAGGGCAAGTGCACAAGACGGGTGGTTTCAGACAGTGTGATAAACATAGGGAGTAGCCACTCCTAGGGCCACCCCTGAGCCTGTGGCCTCCACTTCTGTCTCCAGACCTCCCATTCTCACCATAGGATGTGTCCAAAGGCACGATCTGTGGAACGTCACTTTATTGTCTTTCTCCTCTGTAAAATGATACTTATATAGTGTGGCCAGTCATTTCCTCTCAATAAAATATATGGGAAATCCTATGACTTCCTTGATACTTAGCAGTAATAAAAGGTTTCTGAATAAGTACAGTACATCCAGTCGATCACAAAAATCAAGATTTCTGAAGTGCATTACAAGCTAGGATGAGTCCTTTGTGCTAGGTGGACCAACTGCTATTTCTTCTGCTTGAGCCTCCAGGCCCCCTCTGAGGACAGGGTGGCAAAGGGGACAAAAGCGCTCCCTCGGCTGATACTGGCTCAGACCCAGGCTCACGTCCTCTGCTAGTGAGCCCTCGAGACTCCCTCCTCGTGGAAATGTTTCTTACAGGCTCTTGGAGGACCACCTTCCCCATGTCGTGGTATTTCGCCTGCACTTGCTGGAGGCAGGGGACAGGCTGTCCCTGGAAGCTACTAATAGCTTTTCCTTTGACACTGGCCCTCAACACTGTCTCTCTCTCTCTCTCTCTCTCTCTCTCTCTCTCTCTCTCTCTCTCTCTCTGTCTCCCCATTTCCAGGAGGCTCACAGTTGGCCGTGCTAACAGCAGAGGAATGAACAACTCAGGGTGGGCCCATTTTTCTCTTCCACCAAATCAACGCCCTTGGAAGATGTTATTCAACTGGAGCTAGCTTTATTGCAACTGACCTGACATTTTCTCTGCATTCTCTGTAACTTTATTGATGTCATTTTGCAAGGAGGTAATGAGTTTAGCATGCTGTTCGCTCCCTACGTTCTTGTACTCTTCCCAATATTCCTTTTCACCGAGTTTCTCAAGAAATAGTTTCTCAGCATTATTTATTTGTGTGCGCATATCTGTTGGAAAGAGATTAAGACACTGTGTAATTTCAATTATCCTTAGAGCCATTACTTGTTGTAACCTGTTTTTATGAAATTAAGTCTGATACTAAAATGCCATTAACATAAATATTATTTTATATATACAATTTCTACAAATCTAAATTATTCAAGCCATTGCTTATCTGTACTTTACAATTTACAACGCAAGTAAATTAAATTCTCAGATATGAAGTAGAACTGTAGCAAGCCATGGTAGTCTGCACCTGTAATTCCAGCACTCCGAGGCTGAGGCAGGAGGATAACAGGTTGAGCCCACTCTAGGAATGCAGCTCAGTGTGAAGGCTCAGGGTTCAATCCCCAATATGAGGAAAGAAAGCAAAGCAAAAACCATTTGTAATTTGGGTTGTGATTGTCTGTCTGTCTCTGTCTTGCCTGACACCTCTGCGTCCTCCCAGGGAATCTGCAAGTTTACTCCTGTGATAGCTTAAGAAGGGTATGATGTGATATAAGACATTATACCACATGTATTCTTTACTTGTGAATTGTCATCTTTTCTGGCCATTATGCCTCTGGGCAAAAGTGACTTCCACTCACCTCCTTTGCAGGCTCTTGGTAAACATGTAAATTACACAGTGGTTCCGTCATCTGATATCTTTCTCCCATTGCTTTTTAAATTTTTTTTTTTTTTTTTTTGTATTTTAGGGAAGGGTCTACAGGGTATTCAGGGCCTCACTACTAGATCAGACTCATAGTGATCTGCCTGTTTACAGCCTCCCAAGAGCTGGGGTTACAGGCGTGCGCCACCACGCCCAGTCTCAAATGCTGTCTCCGTGTACCCTGGGGGTGGGGCCGGCCGGCATGGCAGGCCCAGGGATTGAACCCCCGGCCCCTGCACCTGCTTGTAGGTGCTTTAATCTGCTGAGCTACTTGGCCGGTCCTAATTTTTTTGATGGTACCAGGGATCGAACTTGGGACCTTGCACTTGCCAGGCAGGTGCTTATGCCACTGAGCTATACCCCTGGCCTGCTTCTCCCACTGCTTACTGTACTATTTCAAACACACAACCTTTCCGTGTCACCTGGTATATTTGGTAACCGTCTTATTACACTGTCTTCAGCCCAAATATAATATCACCAAATAGTGTACTTTTGAAGCAAGCACTGCGCCAGGCCAAGTCCAAGAACGCACTGGGTGTGCGGCCCACTGCCAGGCCCCACCTTGCTTGGACGCTAGTGCTGGGCAAGAGCACATCCCCTTCACCTGCGTAAGCCCAGCCACTGGCATGGAGTCTCACAGTGAGCTGGTTCTCAACGCACTCACTGAACGCAGCGTTCCGGCCAGGTAAGAGAGGCATGTTCTTCAGTGCTCGAGCCTAGAAGGCCCCAGGCCTGCTCTTCTTTTGTAAGCCAAGGGTACACATGAGATCACAGTGACTAATCCCTCCGTAACTCAGGTGGACAGCTGTCCTCTCATCTGAGCAGAGGGCTGCTCTGAACCCTGTGCCTTTATCAGCCCTTGGGCGGAGGGGGCCAGGTGTCATTGAAGTGCTATACAGAGGCAAGGACACAGTGGCCACTGGTCTCTCTTACAGCCACTCTCCCTCACCTTTTCCACACACAGACACACCAACACACACACACACACACACAGACGCCTCAGATGAAAAAATAAAGCTGATATCTGATAGTACGGAGGCCCCGGATGCAGGTCAGCGGCACCCGGCCCTTTCTGTGGTTCGATTACTTGAAACAGTCATCCCCTTTATGCTTGGGCTCTTCTGAGTTGGGTTTCTATTTTCATACCTGAAGGATCCTAACTGAAAGTTGGAAGCAAAGCGTTACAAGTTATTCCTTCTACCTTGCTCTGCACATGGATCGCCTCGGCTCCTGTGCCGGTATGGACTCTGACCAGGCTCCAGGAAGGTGAGATTTGGCAATTCTCCAGTGAGCTATGGTGGAATGAAATCCCTGAGAGATGGTGGCAGGATGCTTTCCTGGTGATACTAACCTTCTCATTCCCATTCTGAACCCAGGCTAAAGCCCAGGGAGCCACCAATGACAAATTCCGTCAAAGAACAAGACTCAGTGTAAGGAGCAGCAAGCGTGGTGTCTCACAGCAGCATGAGGCGGACCTCGGTTGTCGTCTGATTCCTGCCGCACTCCTCCGCCTCACGTGGCTGCAGTCCCTCTGCCCACTTTGATTCCCTCCCTCTCCTGTCCACTGACTTGCGTGTGCCTGCAGGTGCAGTGGAATTGATGTCATTTGAAACAGCACGTATACCACCGTGAAGACAAAAGCATGAACACATTTAAGAAACACATGATACCCCTTCTCTGATGGCTCTGTTACTAAATCACCTCTCAAGTTCTTCTCCTGGTTTCTCTCAAACTCCCATTTTTCCTTCATTGCCTCTTCAACATCCTCTCTCGTCACCACTGGTAACCCATCGGCCTTCTTCTCCTTCAGCTCCTTTAGTAAGTTCTTTATGTGCCAATTCTGTTCTTCCTTCAAGCGTCTATTCTGTCATAAAAATCAACAGTAATTAACAATATTCGCCAAACTATTTGCATGCACTGCTTTCCCAAAACAAAGGTCTATATTAAGGCTCACAAAGTGAGAAGCGTCAGTTAAATACATTATACAGATACCCGTAGAAGCTAATGGGTCATTTAAGACTCAAACCTATCAATGGAATAACCATTGGATAGAATGTTGCATTGTAAAAGCTATCTATTAACCTGCTAGTCTATCAAGACATCGTAGGATCGGTGAACATCAGTGCTCATCCGTGGAAGGTGATGTGCTCGATCTCCCACCGACACTGTCCTCTGCTACTGTTTCTTATTCAGCTAGCATTTACCATGGGCCAGGTAGCTGTTGGGAAGCATGGAAGCTAGAAAATTGGTCAAATGTGTGTAGGTGGGACTAGGCCTCAATGCCTAAAGCAGTCAAGCTACCTCCGTCCTGAGATGAGCACCCTGACTGGTTAATGTTGGCTATTAGTCACTGGGCCACCTGGCGTCGCATGTTGCTAACTTTGCAAGGGTATAAATAAACGTCCATATTGTTGCTGGTGGGGGTGTCATTTCACTACCAGGCAGATGAGTCACCACCTAACCCAGCTTTTGTCTTGTCTGTCTTTTCCTCATTCCTGCTGCCGTTTCTCCACAGGTAGAATGGATCACACTGAGACTCACGGATCCTTACACATAGTACACTGGGGACTAGAGCCGCATCCGTGAACAAAACAGGAGAAAAGCTACTGCTTTTGTATAACTTATGTGACTCTTGGCTTCTTTTCCACAAATGACACTAACTCTCTTTTGCTAGGATGACAGCTAAAAAAATAATTCACACTTGAAATATGGACCAGGTTATTTTTGTAGCTATCCTATTCATGTTCCTAAGCTGCATATTTGATCAACTGAAAATTTATTCTTGCCTTTGCTATCTTAATATGTGTAAAACTTGACCACATACAAAACCTTCCCTATAAGAATTACCATGAAGTGAGGAAAACTAAACAGCAACCTGAATTCATAAGAAAAAAAATAAGTGCACCAATAACAGTAACTACACAGGTAAGTATGAAAGGTAACATAGATGCATTTTTATGATTCTTTCCCTCTATTTAATTTAAAAGACAATTATCAGAAAAGACAACTGAGGGACTGGTGAGATGGCTCAGTGGTCTAAAGCACCTACTCAGATTAGAACAAGCTTGGCAAAGCACAGGGACCGCAGTTCAATCCCCCAGCACCACATGCCAGCCAGCCCCACCCCCTGGTGGGCTAAGCTGGCCACACACACACACACACACACACACACACACACACATAAGTTAAAAAAAAAGAAAAGACAACTGTATAGTGTAATAATTATCAATCTATGTTGTGTGCATACAGTGCATTATCTATAATGAGAAGAGCACAAGTGAAGGAAGAGGAAGTGGAACTATGCTTTTGTAAATGAAATTAAGTTGGCATTAATCTGAACTAGATTAAAATGCCTGTAAGCAGGTGCCGGGGCTGGGGTTCGATCCCCAGGCCTGCTGTGCTGGCACCGCCCCCAGGGCATGCTGAGATGGCAATTGAGACTGGGTGTGGTGGTGCACACCTGTAATCCCAGCTCTTGGGAGGCTGTAAATAGGAGAATCACTATGAGTCCGATCTAATAGTGAGACCCTGAACACCCTGTAGAACCTTCCCTAAAATACAAAAAAAAGGAATCCTTAGGAAAACTACTAAGAAAATATAATAAAAATATTAAGAGCAGTAAAATGGTTCTTTAGGAAGTATTTAATACAACAGATGGCAACAATGGAAGAATAGGGGAACAAAAGAACATGAAGCAGATACAATAAATAGTGAAATTCAGATGTAAATCTTCCTTATCAATAATGACATTAAATGAAAGTGGGCTAAACATGAAAAGGAATAGCCTTGCAGAATGGATAATTTAAAAAATGATCAGCTGGGGGGCCTGGCCCTAGCTCAGGCCTTTAAGTGGCTGCTTCCACAAAGCTGTCAGCCTCAGGTTGCTGGAGTTCAAACCTCACACTTCTCCCGCTGGCCACAAGTGCCCTGAAGGCATTCGAGGAACCAAAAAAAAAAAAAAATGATCAGCTGTATGATTTCTATGAGGCACACTGTAGAGTCAAAACAACACAGGCTGCAAGTCTGAAGATGAGAACAGATGTAGCACACAAACAAGTGGCCCAAAGAGCTGATTTATGAAAAGCATTGCTACTGAAGACAAAAAGGACGTTATATAGTAATGATGCAAGAGGAAAACCATAAAGATATAATTAGAAACATATATGGCCTGCACTAGGTACTGATGTCACTCCAAAATTCATGCCCATTTGGAACTTCAGAATATGATCTTACTGGAAACAGTCTCTCCAAATGAAATTAGTTAAGATGAGGTCACACTGAGCGAGGGTGAGACCTAAGTCAGTAACTTGTTATCTTTTAGTAAAAGGTGGTATGAAAACACACACAGGCGCGCGCGCACACACACACGCGCGCGCGCGCACACACACACACACACACACAGGCGATGTGAAGGGGGAAGCAGATTGGATTGCTGTTTCTAAGGCACATGTGCCAAGGACTGCTGGGGACAGCAGTTACGAGACGGGATTTCTGCCTGAAATCCTGCAGAAGCAGCTGCTCTGGCCGGGCCTCCTTCCGTGCTGATCCGCCAATACTTTCATTTTCAATGCTGCTCCCGTGAACTTGAGAGAGCCAATTTCTGTCTTTTCAAGGCACACAGCTTGTGGCAATCTGCAAAGGCAGCCCGGAGAAGGTAATTCACACCATGGCAGGAGCCCAAAACACAGGCAAGCTGCTCTCCATGCGCAGGGGAAACGAGAATCTCAGGCCACTAGCTCGGGGGAAACAGCCATTTGTACCAAGAAGTAATCTGGTGTCGTCCTTATTTTCCCTGCCAGAGTGATGTCAATGTCAAGAAAAATCTAGATAAAATAAAAGGTCATAAATGAGATCCACAGCCTCATAACAATACAAAATGTCCAGGTTTTAATAAAGCACTCGTCATACCAGGAAGCAAGAGGATTTCAAAGTGAATGAAAAGGATAGTCAATACTGCTACCACCAAAGAGCCTGGCAGAATTCCTTGACAACGATTTGAGGCAGCCGCGATAAAGCTGGCTCTCCGTGAGCAAGGAAGACACGCTTCAAACAAAAATGTAGATTGTCTCGGCAAGAATATGGAACATAAAGAACCAAGGGAAACTGGGGCTTAAAATACAC